TTTTCCCCCCTCCCTTCCCGGCTGATTCTGTTGTGCTGCAGTGTGGAGAAAACGACACGTTTCGTTAACACTGGGGCCTGCGCCTATGGTCCTTGCTCGGGTGGTAACTGGAACTATGCCAAGTGCGGTCGGAACTTCTACACCTCAGGAAGCCGTGTCTGCAGGAGAAACCTGCAGGAGCCGGTTTACGGCGAGTGCGTCCTAATCGAAATCACTCAGGCTACGTACACCGACAACACCAATTGGAAGGGGGAGGACTGTATCATCATCAGGACAACTTGAAGCCCATGAACATGATGAGGATCAAATAATGGAGGTCAGGGCGTTTCTTCCAAGTCTCACAAGTCACGTCGGAGAAGTCTCATAAGTCACGTCGGTGAAGTCTCATAAGTAACATCGGTGAAGTCTCATAAGTCACGTCAGAGAAGTCTCATTGGCTTGTCACACACGCAAGGTTTTTTTTTTAAGTCAAGATCAATTCCTCGAAATGAGTGAGAGGCGCGGAGAAGATTATGACCGCGACCACAGTCATCCATCCACCAGTCATTCAGTGCAAACCAGGAAGAGAGGAGGAGAGCCTAGGAGATATTCCACTTCTCTTAAATGTGTTCGTCCTTGGCCTGCTCGGCTCCTTCTTTGTCCGCTCGTAGAACAGCGAGAATGACATGCGGATGCCGGGAAGAAGTTAATGAAATCGGTATGGAGGAGCGGAAGATAGATGGGGAGGAGGGCGGGGCAATGGTGAGGAGGAGGGTGAGGAGGAATACAGGAAGACAGAGAGGAAGAGCCTAGGAGGAGGAGGAGGAGGAGGAGGAAAAGGGGAACAAGATGGTGGTATGGGACCGACAAGCACCTCCTCTCCTCCTCCTCGTCGGCCTCCTCCCCCTGCCCTTTTGCAGAAGCTTGATGTCCCCTGGGATGCAGTCATCTCTTGTTTTATTTTCCATTCTTGATTGAAACCCATCGTCGTGAGGTAAAAATAAAAATAAAAAGGTCAAAATAAAAATAAAAAGGAAAAACTGACCGTGGGTCACATTCTTAGCTCGAAATGGGCAGAAAAAAACAGGTACCAGGAGCGGAGTCCAGACTTGGCAAAAAAGGCAGACACATGGGCAATTATTTTTGCTGTTTGTTTGTTTCAGGCCCTCTGCACACCACGGCCAGCCTTTGTAGTTATGGCATGGCATTGTGGGCTTATTACGAATGGCCGCGTGAAGTTGGCAGCCTTTTCTACTGGAGCCGTTCAGGGACCTGTCCGAACTTGTATTTTCTTGTCTGTTCCAGGTTCGCATTGGGGGTCTTGAATGCTTAAGGGGACTCTACAAGTTTCCTGACTGCGGAATCTGGTCACCAATTTCAGATACGCCCTGGGTCAACATTGCCCTTCCTGCCAATTGATCTTCAAGTCTAATTAATATATTGCTCGTCAAGTCTAATTAATATAGACTATTCATAGCTCTCATGTGACAGGTTCAACGAGTGTCAAGCCTATTCGCTATAACCGGCATTCTTGTATTTTCCTTAACTGAATGGCACTCGTGAGAATTGGCCTTCTACTCAGTTCCAAATTCTGCTGCTTCCCGATTTCTCATATCACTTTGCCCACCCGCCTCCTCTTCTCTCTCTCTCTCTCCCTCTCTCTCCCTGTTTCTCCCTCTCTCCCTCTCTCTCTCTCTCTCCCTCTCTCTCTCTCTCTCTGTGTGTGTGACCCGGTTGGTGTTCAACTCTCGGTTCAACTTCAGTCAATGGCACTCCAAATTTTGCTTCCGACTCCGTTTCGACTTGTCCTGCTTCTGAGCTTTTTGATATTGCCCCTCCCCCC